GCGGGTTCGTTTACGAAACTCAAGAGTCTGGATGCTGAAGGTAACATCAATCAAATCAGTGACAAAGCTTTTACTTTCCTAAATTTATATATTTCTTACGTGCAAAGTCGGAGACATTTACTGGAAAATGCCATAATAAAATCTAATTCCTTTTAATTCTTATTTTACAGTTTGAAACTGGTCGAGGCGTCGGGGGTTGTACTAAAAGCATATAGAAGGGGAAAGAAAAAAACACTTGGAGGTTTACGTAGCGTTTGTATTTCCGAGAAAACATGTTCCAACCAGAGGAAATGATTCGTGTAAAATAGATAATCCCTTCGAGGTAATTGAACATAATTGAAATCTTTCTCTTTCATGGATTGAAAAATTCTCATTGCTGTTAAACAAAATAAACAAAGTGCCTTTTGGCAACAAATCATAAAATCGGATTTTTTTTTCATTTAAAACTGAAATTGAACAATTTTATTCTAGCTATTTTCCGACAACCAAAGTACTATAACAATTTATTTTTACTCTAAGGACACTCTATATAGTGATTTTACTTCAACACATTTACAATTAAAATTAATGCGTTCCCTTTGCTGTATTTTTCTTAATTTTAAAAAGAACAGCCATATAAAATCAAATAAAAAAGAACAAAAAACATTATCGAATAAAGGTAAAACGGCAGAACAGTTCTTAACCAGAATTCATTGATTTCTCAACAACATTCTAATAAATAATACCAAAGACATTATGTTGGAGGACTAATTTGGAAATATATAATGCGAGTGATGCAATGAAAACAAAAAAGAAAAATAGCGAAGTCGGTGTGGTCTAGTCCGAATTCCATTCGAGTTAGATGCGTTCATTCTTAGTGTGAGATACAACCTTTAGGAAAAATATGAATCGTCTCCCCTTAACTATATGTTGAACAATAGGATAGACATTATCTGTTTAGCCTTGGCCGACTTCAAGTCTGAGATGGAGAAGTCTAAATTTAAAACCCAGGAACGGCTGTTTGTTAAAGTTGTGGCTCCAGTTCTCATTATTCCTTTCTTTGGAAAAGTTTGGTTTCTTTCTCACAGCCCTTCACCACTATAACCAAATCCTACATGCAGGTAGTGTGTCTGTTGTATTCTGAGATACTAGACCGTCATATATCGAAAACGACTCGAGTCTCACTATATATAATAGACATTGAGGAGTTTTCGAGGTATTACGGTTTAGTATCTCAGAATAGAACACACACAGACACACGTACGTGTGTGGATATATATATATATATATATATATGTGTTTGTGTGTGTGTGTATGTATATGTGTGTGTATGTATATGTGTTATATATATATATATATATATATATGGCAAAGGTAAACCTTTTTTGTGTTTTCAGAAGTAATAAGAGGAATAAATTTGTATAAATGCAAGTTACATATAAAGTATTCACATTTCTAAAGTTCCTCAGGTTACAGAACATGTTGGTAAAGAATTTTTTTTCTGTAATTTTTTATTTGTATTGTCTTTACAAATAGGTTTTATTTATAGCTGAATTTTGGCATATATAAAAAAAAAAAAACAGTCTTTGATAGCTATACACTTAATGACTAAATAGCTTATATCTTTTCTATTTTATTTGCTGTGCACACTTTTTCTTTCCTTGATAGAGCTCTGACCAGAGACTAATACAAAGCGGTCGGAATATGTTTTTTCGTTATTTTTTTATTTTCTCTATTCTATTTTTCTCTTACTTTTTCTCCATTTTTCTTTCCCTTCCCCCTCTCTCGTTTGTCTGTCTGTGTTTGTGTGTGTCTCCCTCTCGTTTGTTTGTGTCTCACTCGTTTGTCTGTCTGTGTTTGGGTGTGTCTCCCTCTCGTCTGTCTGTGTTTGTGTGTGTGTTTCCCCCTCGTTTGTGCTTGTGTTTGTGTGTGTGTGTCTCTCTCTCTCGTTTGTGTTTGTGTCTCTCTCTCGTTTGTTTGTGTCTCTCTCTCGTTTGTCTGTTTGTATGTTTGTGTGTGTCTCTCTCTCGTTTGTCTGTTTGTATGTTTGTGTGTGTCTCTCTCTCGCTTGTCTGTGTTTGTGTGTGTCTCTCTCTCGCTTGTCTGTGTTTGTGTGTCTCTCTCTCTCTGTCGTTTGTCTTTGTGCGTGTGAGTCTCTCTGTCGTTTGTCTTTGTGCGTGTGAGTCTCTCTGTCGTTTGTCTTTGTGCGTGTGAGTCTCTCTGTCGTTTGTCTTTGTGCGTGTGAGTCTCTCTGTCGTTTGTCTGTGTGTGTGAGTGTGTGTGTGTGAGAGAGAGAAGGATATAGTAATTTACCTTAGTGTCCATTATTCAACTCCGTTATCTGAATATACATAGTCTTTTATCACTTGACTGTCTGTTTTCATTAGTCAGCTGCTTTTCAAGACGACACACGATGCCTGCCACCACGAAAACAAAATCCTGTCATTGTTTAAATTGTTCCAACCATTTATCTCCAAAGTTAAATCAATAAATTAGTAGCCTGATGACGATATAAAGTCTTTGTCTTGGTCAACATATTTCTGTTTAAGCATCTATCTTTAATTCCATTGGCCCAGAATTTCTCTTGTAATCATACCGAACGAGAAACTATCCAGTGAAAATTTACAAGCAAAACTCAGCTAGCAAGTGTCCTAGGCTATCGATTTATTGATCTACCTCCATATATGATTGATAGATATATAGATTCGTTAATCTCTCTAAAGTCGGCTGCATTTTAAATTGCGAATACTTATTTTTCAACATAATGACTTTTGTTAATATTTGTAAGCCTTTTGATTCTCTCGTAATCCGTAAATTAGTATAGTGAAAAACTCACATCAAAAATCATCTAACGATTGATTTTTTTTATATACAACCTCATATAGTACTTGAAAGCTGACTGTTGAAGAAATTTTGTAAAACTAGATTTTCCTGATCACTATTTAAATATCGAATTTATTTTTTGAATACTATTCTTGAATATCTATTAACTTAGTCCAGTTTTTGAAATTTTGTTCACTGATTACTATTTCTTGATCTAGTATAAATAAAAGTATCGGGACTAGTGCTAAAAAAAATACAATCCATATAAATTCGGCATTTAATCCACTTCGAAGTAGTTCTCTTCTGAAGCCAGACATTTTATCCAGCGTCGTTTCCATTGATGGGAAAATTCCTGGAACCGTTATTTTTGGGAATAGCGAGCAGCTTCCTCGTCGCATTCTCTTGAAGTTTCTCAACGTCTTAATATCTTGTTCGTTTCACTTTGGATTTCATTTTTGGAATGAGAAAAAAAGTCCCAAATGAATCTGGGGAATGTGGTGGTTGTCTGATCTGGGCTGAGGAATATTGTGCTTGGCCAAGCTATGGTCACTGATAGAACGTCTGTGGCACGGCGAGACGATCATACACGACACACATTCGTTCACTTTTAATCCGTTCTAAGCAACTTCACTTTGCATACTTTAACTTCTTTACCCTTACAGGAGTGCCGAGTAGATCTGTTTCTCTATCAGTTCAGGTACAGCAATATAGTGTTATTACTTTTGCAATGATCGGTGAGTTTGGCCATAGAGAATTGTGTGTGAGAGAGAGACTGAAAAAGGAAAGACATTTTTTTTTTTTTTTTGTGTGCGGTTCGGATAATTTTTCAGATTTCTAAACAATATTTCACCATAAATAGATCAATGTTGTTAACAGCTTTCGGTTTCCATAAGCTATTATGAAGGAGTTTTTTTTATTTGTACTACTGATGTTTTGTTTATGTGTATTCGTGGACTGTGGGCTTTCAATCTTTTTTTTTCTTTTTTTTAGCAGAGAAAACAAAATATATCTTACTTGTGATATGTACCATAATGCTTTCTCCCAAAAACGTTTAATTATTCTGTGTGTTTAGCTTGACATCATAAATTTTGAATGGAACAAAATTTTACGATTACGATTTTATAAAAAAAAAACAAAAAAAAACAACTCCAAGACTTTTCTAGATTTCTATTGCTTGTTGGTTGCCGAATTCTGGGAATAACCCAACAGATTCCCAGCCCCAAATCTCAATAGCGCTGTATTATTCACAGGAAAAATATAAGGGTAGAAAATATGTTTTCGTGTACTTTGTCCAACTTAGAAGTTTACAGAGTGGATATTTAGTTGATGGTTGTATTTTAACTGAAAATGTGAAGGCAAACAAAAAATATATATATATATATATTTTTAATGTTTCTATCTTTCTGATAATCATAATACCCATAAACTCAAGCCGCTAGTGACCAGATGGCGGTCCACCGATGGCAACGCTAGCTGTCCTCTGTTGTTAGCCACTGTCGGACCTTTAGCGGTCTGCCAGTGGTAACATTACCGAGACCAACACACCGGCGGGATTTGACAGCGGGCCACCAGCAAAAACGCTATTGCCATGCCACCCAGTGGCAGATTGGGGGCGTGCGTGTAGGAACTAACGTACCCAATTATGTTCTTGTCGCTCTCATATATATGAGAAAGATGATGTATTTGGATAGCAATCCCCCTTTTATACTGTTTTCATTGAAGAAAACTGACAAGGCACTTCGGTTGATATTTTCATATTTTTTCTCGCATTCGTAAAGGTGGAATTAGTGTGAAAGAACTATCCAAATGGTCTTTGAAAGGGTTCGCAAGAATGTGTTCATGAACATGGCCAAAACGATCTGACTGTATTCGGAAATATATAAATCTACGTATTACTCTAAAAACAATCTACATATTCAGGAAAAAAAATAATTGCTAATAGATTAACCGTAAGCGCTCAGATCATTTGTACAGTTTTTTTTTACACACAGTGCAAAAAAAAAAAAGGAATTCCTTGTACGAATGTAAGAAAAAATATAAACGCTTATCCACAGTTCCATGTTATAAACTATTACACCTACCCTTGTTGCATTCTAGTGTGAATAAATTTATACAGACTCCAGCTATGGCTTAAATAACAGTAAATATTGAGTTCTCTAAGCCTTCGTTGATAAGGAAAACTCTGCTTCAAATCGAGGATGCTTCTAGAATTCGTAATACATTGTGAACTACTTCTGTTATCAGTTCTTCCGAAAAGAGAGTTTGGTTCGACGCCAGTCTCGTCGCTGTATTCTCAAAGTGTGCGCCAGTCTCGTCGCTGTATTCTCAAAGTGTGCGCCAGTCTCGTCGCTGTATTCTCAAAGTGTGCGCCAGTCTCGTCGCTGTATTCTCAAAGTGTGCGCCAGTCTCGTCGCTGTATTCTCAAAGTGTGCGCTGTATTCTCGTCGCTGTATTCTCAAAGTGTGCGCCAGTCTCGTCGCTGTATTCTCAAAGTGTGCGCCAGTCCGTCGCTGTATTCTCAAAGTGCGCCAGTCTCGTCGCTGTATTCTCAAAGTGTGCGCCAGTCTCGTCGCTGTATTCTCAAAGTGTGCGCCAGTCTCGTCGCTGTATTCTCAAAGTGTGCGCCAGTCTCGTCGCTGTATTCTCAAAGTGTGCGCCAGTCTCGTCGCTGTATTCTCAAAGTGTGCGCCAGTCTCGTCGCTGTATTCTCAAAGTGTGCGCCAGTCTCGTCGCTGTATTCTCAAAGTGTGCGCCAGTCTCGTCGCTGTATTCTCAAAGTGTGCGCCAGTCTCGTCGCTGTATTCTCAAAGTGTGCGCCAGTCTCGTCGCTGTATTCTCAAAGTGTGTGCGCCAGTCTCGTCGCTGTATTCTCAAAGTGTGCGCCAGTCTCGTCGCTGTATTCTCAAAAGTGTGCGCCAGTCTCGTCGCTGTATTCTCAAAGTGTGCGCCAGTCTCGTCGCTGTATTCTCAAAGTGTGCATGATCTCGTCTGTATTCTCAAAGTGTGCGCCAGTCTCGTCGCTGTATTCTCAAAGTGTGCGCCAGTCTCGTCGCTGTATTCTCAAAGTGTGCGCCAGTCTCGTCGCTGTATTCTCAAAGTGTGCGCCAGTCTCGTCGCTGTATTCTCAAAGTGTGCGCCAGTCTCGTCGCTGTATTCTCAAAGTGTGCGCCAGTCTCGTCGCTGTATTCTCAAAGTGCGCCAGTCTCGTCGCTGTATTCTCAAAGTGTGCGCAGTCTCGTCGCTGTATTCTCAAAGTGTGCGCCAGTCTCGTCGCTGTATTCTCAAAGTGTGCGCCAGTATAGACTGGGGATTCTGTTCTGAAACTGCTCTCATAGCCAAAGAGTCGATAATATTCATCGGTCAGCAGGGACCTAATATCAGACCAAACTGAGATACTCTTGCCTTGGAGTCGGAACCATTCAAAGTGACAAACATCTTTATCACAAAGGAAATCTACTCCGCTGCCTTAGCCAAGAATTCATAGCAATTCAGATGACAAAGAAAAGGAATCTGGAGAACCACAATTTCCTACGTTCTGAAGGGACATTGATTTTTATGAATATATTTTTTAAAATGCAATCATCACTTTTTCTTTTACCAACAAGTATCCTTTCCTTTTTATTATACATTATTTCAAGACTTAAGAAAACAAAACTAAAACTAATTTCATCTATTCATTTTGCCTAGAAGGTATTTTAGAAAATAAATAACTCTATTTCCGATATTACAGCCACATCAAGTTTAAACGATCACCCAAGTTAAGCCCATCTCTGCTTGCCAGTACTTAGATGGGTGACTGTTTGGTAATACCAGGTTCTGTAAGCTTGTATGTGCAGGAGGTGTAATGATAATGGATCGGAATTATTAATCAGAGTGCCAAGTTCCAATTCAAGTTGTGTTCGTTATATTCACAAAGCCGTAAATACCTTTTTGGAAAGTTGTGAATCCACCACTTCCCCCATCTATGGATTAAGTAGTAAGACTTGTATAACTAAACCGTTATTATCTACAAAATTAAAATAAAATTGCATACAAAATATTTAGATTTCCACATTAAATAACCCATAGAGGACAGTCCTGAGTAAGACGATAAATTACATCCGGCAGCGGACTCTGATCGGGTGGGTCTGGGGAACGTGGGACTACATATTAAGTACTGTTATTCCCAGGTTTGCCCTGATTCGGGGTGGTAGTACCTGTTAGTCCTCCAATTATCTAAAATAGTTAACGCCCCACAAACTGTAGTCGAAACATCAAGATATTATAACAAGTTTTATAGTAAAAAATACCAACTATATATTTTCATAGTGAAAAAAAATAGTAATAAATTAAAAAAAAAAATTACTATAAATATAAATATATATATATATATATATATATATATATATATATATATATATATATATATATATATGGATCTGCAGTTGTTGAACAAGCACAAATGCATATGCAATAGGGATTGGCTATCCGCCCTTGTAGACAAGTATCCTCGAATGCGAGTGTTCAGCTATACTTCTCTCTATCTATCTATCTATCTATATATATATATAAAATGTCTGTCTACCAGGGCGAATAGCCAATCCCTATTGCAGGTGCATTTGTGTTTGTTCAACACCCCTAGAACACACACACACGCGCATATATATATATATATATATATATATATATATATATATATATATATATATATGGCTTGTAATTTTTTTTGTACTATGCTGAGCAGACTATATATATATATATATATATATATATATTGTTAATACCATGCTGAGAAAACTAATTTACGGAATTAAAATGATATGCCGCTAAACTAAAAATATCAATAACCCTTTATTTCTGATCAAGCACTGCCAATTCACTAGGAGCTACCATTAATTACATTAGAATCGGACTAATGCCAGCCTATTTATTTTCCGATAATAATATTTATAATATTATTTATTAATAATAATAGTGAGATCGACCGCTTCCTTATAAGGAAACATTCGGCATTGTTTAAGTGAGCCGCCTTAATGTAATTGAAATAATTAAAATCTTCCGCTTAAATGGGTTCATCATGAAAATAATCATCTGAGTTGTACCGTTATCGCTCTTTCTAGTATTGTTGGGGAGGTTCCTTACGAAACATTTTTTTAGAGTCGTTTGGGAAATCGGCAACTTGTTTATATCATCATTTTTCCATTCTAGGCATAGCTATTTACCCAGAGACTGGTGCGGTATATGACACAAGTTGCGTACACTCAGACCAATATTCGACCAGTGGTCTATTTTTACTCATCACCCGCATGGCATCGGGCACTAACTTGTCACAGCTGGTCAATTTCTGCCGGAACAAATATTACAACTACATCTTGTTGGATCTCTTCAAGAGATGTGGTTCGTTTATCATTTTCTGAAGCTATTGTAGTCATTGATCTGAGAAAACAACTCTGTTTATCTGGCTGTTTAAACATTTTTTAACCAGTTGGATGCACTATATGATATTCATATAAGAATCTAGATGTGATGAATATATTTAAAAAGTTCTTAGATTATTGTATGGATTTTGTAGTATTTTGCGGCGTTGGACAAAAATATCCCCAAGCGCAGCTTATTGTATATTTAATATTCTTATCTCCTATACTATTTTTTTTTATAACTGATTCCTACACCAAGGCAGTTGAAGTATTTAAAGTTAAATCAAAATTCTGAATTTTTACGGTGGATAAATCGATACCGGTCATCATAGAAAGGTTTATGATAAATCCTTCCTCTTGGAAAATTTGGTAAAGCTTTGTTGTTTTTTTTGTTTTTGGGGGTTTTTTTTTTATTCAAGATCATTGTTATCCCAACTACGAATATATTTGTGTTAAATAATTGTTTCAAACTATTATTTTTTTTAGTGACAGTGTATTCTGACTCAGATATTCTGAGGCTGACCTTTTAAGGTTAGATGGTAGACAAAATAGTTATGTCCATTTTGATTGGCTAAGCCGAACGTAGGAATGTTAGAGAGATAGTAATTTCAAGGGATTAAGTTTTTATACATCATATACAGCAGACGTTGTTATTTGGTGTCTAGGGGAACTTGCTCGCCAGTCGGTGTGATGGAGTGACCCTACTAGCAAGTTAAAAAAATGTACATATCGACGTCTTTAATAAAATAGAAACTTTTTCAAATTTCCTTCGTTGATGTCTCATTTATCTCCGGACTCCAAAAAAATTTCTACACCCGACCGGGTGAAGACGGCCGAGAGAGAGAGAGAGAGAACAATTCAGCTTTGTTATGGAATCGTCCCCATCAAACAAGAGACCCCTAGAACGAGGTGGGCTACATTTTGATTATTTGGCGCAGTGGTCAAGACATCCCCAGAAGAGAGGTAATATGCAATACAGTTATTTTCTAAGCGTGGCTTAGATGTGGCACAAGGCCGAAAGTATGGGCACCTAGTGAGAATCGAATTCATTTTTCAGTTGTAACTGATCTAGCAAGACAAGCTTGCTAACCATTACACCACACCGAGGTGCCCAGAGAGCATATGCAATATATGTCATCCGCAGAGCCACTGTCCTCATCAGTACATTTCATCGGAAGTTAAACAGGAACGCTGATTTTTATTTATTTATTTTAAATTTTTTGGTATGTCTATTCAATAGGAAATGAAGAACTAAATAATGTCGGACAATTCTTCATCCAATCGGAAATATTACTGTAGCTGTTTTCTGACATGTATGAGTATTTCGGTTTCATTTTGGAACATAATGTCGAGATGAGTTTGTGAAAATCACGTTAATTAAACCTCGGGAATATATAATTAAGTTATGGTATTACGGTAGATCTTCTCTTAATTGCTGACTCGTTACAAATTTGATTAAAGGCGATTAAATTACTTTGAAATTAATTAAAAAGTCATATGATACCTCTGTAAGTTTTCGTTCAGAAATTCAATTAAGTTGTGTCTATTAAAATTTGGATTAAATCGTTTGCAAACCAACGAACCGACCTTGCATTAATAGCCGGCAATTTAAGCAGAGAAAATGTATTTATTTTATTGCTCGATAAATTGTTAGACTTTGGTTTATTTAATTCCTTGAAAATCAAGGTTTCGATGAAGTTCAAAGATTTCAATGTCTGCTTGAGAATTTGGCGTAAAAAAAACTTCGATAATAAAATGTTGTTTTCCAATACATCTGTGGATAAGCCGCCATGTTTAGGCGATAGTCTGGTTCTATGTTTGAACTGGTAGCGGCACATCTTGGCTTAAGTCTTGTTTTACTTGAGGTAAAAAAGGGATAAAGGTTTCGATTTTTGCTGGAGGCAGAATTTTTCACTAGTGGGGACTTCTCAATCTAGACCCGATTTAAAAAAAAATTAGGCAACAACTCAAACACGTGTACCCACTAAAAACAACGTTTAAAATGGCTTCTTATTTACGTTATAATACTGATAGGATTAAACATTATATAACTGGGCAGATCAGTTTTGGAATTTTGGTATTGCACTCAATTTCAAAGTTCGAGTTTGACATTTTTTTTTAGCAAAACCGTTACCGTTTTTTGATGCGATGAGTTTAAAAAGTAAATTTAGGTTCAAAATCGTAGCGTTGGAATTTCATTTTGATCATCAATGAAAGCCTTATAGCACAACCTTTTAAAATTTATAAATTACTGAAACTTTACAAATCGTATATGGACAAGATGCATGGTACAAGTACATTGTTACTAAATCATTGCGCTGTCAAGTAAAAACTTCATTTACTTCAAAGGGAAATTATACTGAACAGTTAGCTATATTATGATATGATATGTTATATATTGGAATAGTTTTAGTCTGATTTTTCGATGAACAATGCAAATTTATAACATTTTGTGTTATATGAGGTATAAACACTTTTATCTATTTTTTGTTTTTACTATAATTTCTGGTTCCTATTCCTTATGTTACTGATTGAAGAATGTAACGACCCAACTGTTGTGTTAAAATGTATCAGTAATTGTTTTTATTAAGATCTAAAAAAATCTTATTCATTGAGTAGTATGTTTTGTAATCTTCACAATTTTTTTTCATAGTTTTTACTTATCGAATACAGTAAAAGGAATTGTATATTTTACTTGTCGTGATTCATAATTAGAATTCTGGTTTGAATATATTTTCCATTCAATGAATCTATTTAAAAAAAAATAACAACTTTATTTAGATTTATTTTTGAAATAATAAAATTTTGTCAGTTTGTAAGTAAAAACCTGTGAAAATTAGGTAGCCATGTTCATTTTTTTTCAGACCATCTTTGAAACTAAATGCTCAAAAATTTGTAAAAGCTAT